CTTGGCTTCTTGCCCTATCGAAATCAGCCCGAAAAATTGGACAATTTCATCGTGGGTAAAGTCGTTCATGGCTTCTCCGTTTATCGATATTATCCGATCACCCACTTTTATTCTTCCATCCGCAGCTGCCGGCCCATTGGGCTTGATTTGAGAGATAAAGGTAGAAGTAACGCCGGGAATATGTTCATTGTCCACGCCGCCGACGATATTAAAGCCAAGACCGTCTTCCGTTTTTGTGAGAGTAGTCTCGTAGATAGTTCCTGGCTCGAGTTCCATATAGCACCGAGATTATGGCAGCGAAATATTGGAGAATATTGATGGATTTTGAGCAAAAACTGGAGAATCTGATGCAATTGCGGCTTCGCCGCCCGTCGGCCCTTTCCTTGGCATTTCAATCGCGTAATTCCGGATGGGCGTTTGAATGGGGGCGCGGATTAGCAGACTAGGGACATCTGCACGGGATAAGAAGCCGCATTGGCTTCCCAAAAGGTTTCTGCTACCGCGCTTTAACCAGACATGGCAAAACGGCCGCCGCGGCCGGCCGGAAGCCGCATGCAAATTTTTTTTCACGGCCGGGGCCGGCCGCAAAGCCGCAAAAATTCCCACGGCCGCAGCCGGGCCGGGCCGCAAAAACGTCCTGGGGCCGCAGCCGGCTGCGGCCGGCCGCGGCTTTTGCAATGAACTGCTCGTTGCCTTTTTCCTTTTCAGAAATCATGCAAATCAGTAAAATTCAACTCGAAATCCTAAAAATAGGTCATTATTTTCGCCATGGTGCAGCCGCGGCCGGCCGCGGCCGGCCAGACTCTTTTTGGAGACGGCCGCGGTGACCGGGATTTATGCTAATTTCATATGCGGCCGGCCGCGGCCGGCCATGGGTAGCTACGGCCGGGCCGGCCGGGCCGGGCCGCGGCCACTTGCCATGTCTGGCTTTAACCATATTTTTCTATACAGGGTGTCCCAAAAAAAAAACCCCCCCTCGGCATTTGGCCGTCTTCTATCGGATCGGGACCAAATTTTTACCAGTGATGGGGACCCATAAAAACTATGTGCAGTCGAATTTTCTAAGCAAAATATTGTAAATCAAAAAAGTTATATTGAAATTAAGGTTTATTTTGCCAATTTCACTAGGATTTTGATGGATTAGGGCCCCGAAATGTTTAGCAAAAATGAAGAGGGCACTTTTTTCCACCCGGAGGAATTTTTTGATTTACGAAAATTACGTCAAAATCGGGACTTTTCATCAATTTTTATTATCAAAACGAACAGAAAAGGACCCGTAAATGACGATTTTTGGGAAAATTACTCAAAATCCGCATGCTAATTGCGAGAACATAGCGAAGAATCGGTGCTAGCGTTTCCCAAAAATCAGTTTTTTAGCGATAACTTTTTTGTTTTATAGTATTTTGTTTAGAAAATTCGGCTGCACATAGTTTTTATGGGTCCCCAGCGCCGGTAAAAATTTGGTCCCGATGGGATAGAAGACGGCCAAATGCCGAGGGGGGGTTTTTTTTTGGGACACCCTGTATACAAAAATTACAAACGAGACAATATCTGAAATTTATCAAACGATACCAACATTTTTGAGCATGGTTTATTAGAATGATCCTAATGAACGGGTCGCTAAAACTTGGTTTTCAGACCCATATGGACATGCTACGGTGCCAAATTGAGACCACACGACCCACCAGTAGACTGGGCTGGCGAGCAGCTGCGAAGATCAGGGCGCGGGTCATTTTTCCGGATGCCGTGGAGTGGATGGTTAGATTCGTTTCCGCTATCCGGTGTATAAGTCACCGTCTGCCACACCGTGGCCGGAAAAAAGGTAGCACCGTGGTCGCCCATCCGGAACGATTTTTATTAAATCTTATATGTGTGCACTCATCTCGGGACCATTACGCATCGAATGACGTAACAAACACGCATTAAAAACCTTCCGCTGAGGCAGTAGGTGCGGTACCTACTTACGAGATTGCATTCAAAGATACACACACAGACAATATTTTTTTTGTCCATCGTAGGATTATGCCCCTAAAGCCACCAATAGCAAAAGATCATTAATTCCGTAACACTGCAAGAAATTACAAAATTTTCAAACTTGGTTTATCTCTGATTCGCTGAATCATTTTTCCATTTTTCGCAAATTAATTTGTGATTTTGACGTCCTAGTGCAACGTTTCAACGTCAATTCACCGGCCCGGATGCGCTGGAGCATCGAGGAAGTTGATAAGAAGCGGCTTTACTCCGTCTTTTCTTCCTGCACGTGTTTCGCTGATCGAAAAGCAGTATTGGCACGGTTTCCAAACGCTGCCCTGGTTTTCCGGTTCCGCAAAAATGTTTCTGCATTTTTCCGTATAAGGATTATTTTTTAAGGATGTACCATGCATCCTACCTTATATAAATTTCGTATGTTTTTGTGCGCATGTGTGTGCTGTCACTTTCGCGACCGGATTGAAGGGCCTTTCCCGCATAAAATGCCCTAATTCTTCGTCACTCCTATTCAACCCTCCTATTTCCGATGGCATTCTCAGAATCTCGGCAAAATACAAGCTTATGTTAAAGTCGGGGGAACATCCATTTTGGGGGAACGTGAGGGCTAATCTGCATAATGTGAAAAAAAATACAAATTCTTTCACTTCAGTTAAAGGGCTTCCGACGGCATGTGTCGATCCCCCCCATCTACAAATTGGCAAATTGACCAACAGGGCGGAGAGCGTGCCCTGGGGAGAGGCGCAGAGACATTTTCTTTCCAGCGCGTAACCGATTGACTATGCCGTCCCTTTAAATCCATTTAAATGCGCGTGTGTGGTAGGCGGAGGGAGTCCAAGGTCCCAAGCTATCGGAAAGTCGAATTTCTCATGCAAAGGCTGCTGCTTCCAGCGCTCAAAGTCCGCGAAGCGGGTGTTGGGCGGCGCTTTTTGTATAATTTGTTAACTTTTCGACTTCAGGAAAAATTTTTCGAGCGATTTCTGCGATAGACAAAGATGTAGATCTTTTAGAGAAATGATTGCCAACGTTCTTGCCACTGCAGCGTTACTTGTGACGAATAATAGTACGGAATTCAAATTACAAGCCTCAGCATCGGTGGGCCACCAATGTTATTACTATATCCAGCATGGTTCCGGTCAAACACTACCTCCAAACGTAAGAGGTCGTTTCTCCGCGTAAACTTACAAGACGGGATATAGTAAACGCTTTAAATACAGAATCTACTTTTAAGTCGTGCGTTCGTGCGTTTTAACCCGTGCCCACGTCCGACCGCGACCGGGAATTCAGCCAAATCCAAAATTCAAATTATGGCGGGGAGGGGAGGATCAGCGCTGAACCCCCGCGTAGCGGGGAGTTATCGCTGGTTACGATATAAAAATAAATTTGAGCGGGTGACGTCAGGCTGTGCCTACACGGATTACTGTATGAAATTTGTGTCGAAGGTAAGGATTCTCCAATTCAGATCCAATTTCTTCCAGAAGCTTGTTTTCTGGAGCTGCCCCATTCAGAAAAACATTTGTAAAGTAGGTTCTTACATTTATAACGCCCAAATTATGGCACTTATCTTTAACCCAAATATTCACGGGTTTTTCCAGAATGAAGGCTCATTCAAAGTGATGACCTACGACCCGGAGGATATAAAAAATGTGGCGACAGGCGAGGCTTATTGCTGCTTGGGGAATCGGTGCAACTCGGCCGGAAATATTACACGAATAGTTGCCTTTATATCGATTTTTATCTCAACTTTCGGGGTTTACGCAAATAAAGTTTTTGTGTCGTACGGTTAATCGAATAAACCCAGGAAAAAACACGTACGAAGGACCCTGAACTTTCATCGAATCCTTTGCAAAGCTAATATTAACGCGCATTCCGCGCGAGCCCGGTTTAGCCGCAGAAACATCCCTTCAACTAGACATAGCCATGGTCGAAAAAATGCTTTCATAAATTGTTTTAAAACGAGGTTATGCCTTCCTCCGCGGACCGATCGAAATCCGTCTCTCTGTCGGCTGAAGAATACCGACGCTTACGATGGAAGTGCACGAACCTAAGGAAGCATTTCTTTTTCGAAATAAGTGGGTCCGATAGACTCGAACACGGGGATTCCGAATCTGTAATCAAAATTTGCTGAACGAAACGGAGAGATTTCCTCTGAACCTATCTGTTCCCCTTGAGCAATGTTCGTCCAAATGAAATCTTTGTCGTCCACCACTTGTTCTGCGAGGAATAACTAAAGTATACAATATAATATATTCTGCTAATATCGTTTCAAACCCTCCGTGAGTTTTTTGCCCGGTCACATTTCATCGAAATTTCAGTTATTTTAACCGTCCAAAATTGTCGATCCACGCTGGCCAGATGCGATAAGAGCTGCTTCAAGTCATCACAAAGAAAAAGCGATAGCGTAACGGGTCCAGAACCTAGGAAGCTCCCCGTCCCAAGTTGCATTTTTTCCACTCCGGCAAAAAGGCGTCCACTTTTTTTAAACACTTTTGTTACAAAGTCCATTGTACGAAAGTTTCCTGGCAGCTTATAAAAGGTTTCCCAATAAAAAACACCGGTCTAACTCGACGCAGAAGTATCGGATCGGAATGGTAGTTACGCCATTCGAAAGCCGTTGAAACAGCGAGTCCGCAATACTCTTCATAACCATGTTGTTGCTTAAGCTTGCTATTGTACAAACCATTTTGTAAAATTTTGCGATTTACGGGGTAGCATAAGAGATAATTTGCCTGAATTTCTGCTTCTTTGAGACGACCGGAGGTAGCCGTTATTAGGAATCAGAAACCGTTCCTTTTAGTTTTTAAAGTGGGTATAAAATGGCGTGTTTAAATAAAAACATGGTGCAAACTCGGCGTTTTAAGGGCTTTCGAATGGCATATGGTTCCGAGCGGACCCTTCACCGTCGAGTTGAAGGTTTTTTTATTGGGAGACGTTGTGGAATAATCAGACATTTTTCCAGCCGCGAAATGATAGCCAACGTGCTGGCCACGGCGCTACTGCTGTCAAACAGCAGCATGGCGCCAGTGGAAGACATCGGCCATCGCTGTAACTATCTGGTGACCCACTCGTCAAGCCAGACCCTTCCTAGCATCGTACGTTTTGATTTTGAAAAATTGCAGGAGTGTCTTTTACGCGATACACGGCTACGAAAACAACACGTTTTAGCATCGAACCATCGACTGCCCCTACACGAACTATTGCATAAAGTTTGCCTCTTCGGTAAGTCTTTGTCGAATTTTTGGTCGAGACTAATTCTTGACTAAAAATAAATCTTTATCGAATTTATGCTGTTAAGATTTTTCCGACGTTTTGACAATGGCTGGAGACAACTCTTTTTATTTTTAGAAACTCGTCTTCTGGAGTTGCCCGGTCGCTAACAGCGTCTGCGTAAGTTGCAAGGCTCCACAAATCCATGACGGTTGTCCATTAATTTAGTCAAAGTCGGAATTCAAAGTAACGACCTTCGACCCGGAAGATTCGAGTTACACCGCTACCGGAACGGCCTATTGCTGCACCGGGAATCTTTGCAATGGTGCCGGACAGAAGATGACGATTTTTACGCTCTTTATTGTGGCGGTATCACGTTGGATGTTTTAATAAATATTAAAGCTTTTGAGAGGGAGTAGAAAATTGGGAACAAATAGCTTCCGAAACAAGCTTGCGGGTCTCACGCGAAAATGGGGTTTTTTATCCTGAATTTTCACAGCTCCCTTTCATTTTTATTTTGATGGTTTCAGCATTACGCTTCAGCTCGGAACACACATTTTGGTATACTTTACAGCCCTTCGATTAGGTGTCAATAGAAAGCCAGATAACAAAAATCCAAGAAAGACCAGGCGTTACTGTCGCATTTCAACACTTACAATCGTAAAATTAGCATAACGATCATGGTAGCATCGCAACTAACTAACCTCCACTCGCCGCTTTTTCTTCGCAGAAGCCGGTCGTATAGGTAATTTTTCAGACCCAAATTCAAAGTTTTCGATTCGAATCAGTGATGTACACCAGTCAGCCGGGGATGAACCCGGTCCCGGGCCCGGCCCCGCAGAGCCACGCCTCGCAACGCGGCCCCGGTTCGCAGAACCCAAGGCAGCCAAGTGGGTCGTTAGTGTATTTTGGGCTTTTAAAGTTGAGGTATATATACTTTACTGTTATTTGCCGTTTTTGTTAATATTTCCGCATTTTAGTGCTGATGCAAGCGCCACAAGCCCCGGTGGGATGCCCTCCCGGCCTCGAATACCTCACCATCCTCGACCGGGTTGTTGTCGAGCAGGTATACTGTAAATTTAAAGAATTACTGTAACGATTACGGCATTTAGCTATATAGATCATTTCTGATAGAAAGAACAACCATGAAGTATCGCATCTTTATTTTCAGAAAATCGAGGTGTTCGAGGTGATGACGAACTGGGAGACGGCCAACCGCTACGCCATCCACAACGCCAATTGGCAACAGGTAAGGCCTGAAATTTTGTGTATGTCATTGAGTACGTTACACACCTCCTTACACCCAATTCCAGGCCTACATGGCGTTCGAGGAGGACAAGATGAGCTGCGCCAGGCAGTGCTGCCCGAACAAGCGCGGCTACGTGATGCACGTCGTTGACAATTATGGAAGGGTGGGTGGAGAGAGATTTAGATAGAGAGAGAGAGCGTGAGATAGAGAGAGAAAACAAGATATGCAGATTTTCACCTTTAGGAAGTGATGCGTATCACCCGTCCCTTCAAATGTTGCGCCGACATGTACTGGGGGAATGAGACGACCGTCGAGGCGCCGCCCGGAAATGTGGTATATTTCATTTTTTAAGGGCAATTATAACGTATCATAGGTATCAATAATCCGTCAATTAAGCTCATTTCCAGATTGGACGGGTCGTGGAGGACATCGGTTCCCTCGGTTGCTGCTCGCACAAATTTTCCCTGCATATGGATGGGCAGCAGGCGCTGAAGTGGGAGTTTTGCCTTGAGTGGTCCTTCAAAACGTGGATTTTAGAATCGACGGCCCGCTGGACTGCTGCTGTTGCCGGATTTGCAATGTTTGCGGTGATCAGGTCTTCGAGGTAGTTTTTTAGGGTATCAACATGCAGTAATACATCTCTAAAATTCGTTAAAACAAGTAGTTTTTTCAGATCAAGACGATGCAGGGCGAAAAGATTGGCGACATCCGGAAGAAGTGGACCGGTTTCGCGCAGGAGTACTTCACCGACGCCGACACGTTCACCTGCGATTGTGCGTAGTTTTTGTTCATGTTAGGCTTAGGCTTAGGCTTATGATTGGGTTTATGCTCAAAGCCTAGGCTTAGATTTAGGCTTATTGGTTTTTAGTCCCCGTCGACCTGGACGTGCGCATGAAGGCCACCATCCTCGCGGCTACTTTCCTAGTGGTAGAAAATCCGTTTTTCGCTTCATGAAATTCTGTTTTTTTAGGACTTCATGTTCTTCGAGGACAACAATTGATGTGACCTCGTGCCGTGCCCCACCAACCATTAATATTACAAGAAGCTCTTCCCCGGCAATTCGTCAAATGTTAATGACAAGCAACGTGTATTTATTCGCAGTCCTATTTGTGCTCGCTGAATAAAGGGTTTGATTGGGAAGAAGAAAGAGAGAAGGAGAGAGAGCGATAGAGAGAGAGAGAAGGAGCGAGAGAGAGGGAGCGAGAGAGAGATTCGTTTGGATGTCAAATCGTGTGAATTTCTAAATTCTGAAGCCATTCCTGGAATTCTAGGCCGATTTCCATCATTTGTTTTCAAAAGTTTTGCCTTTTATCCCCAAAACTTTCTAATTGTAACTTCCCAGCTCCTCTAAAATGACCAGAAAACCACAGAAACCATTACATGCATCGTTCCGTCGCAATACGTAGTCAGATCTCGTCCAGTATTGTAGAGTAACAGCTAGGCAAACTAAATTTGAGGTTGATTGTCGTTTGGATGTCCGCATTGGTCGCAGAAGCAAGTTTGGAGGCAGCTAAATTATATTCCCACCCAGCGAACAGTCTTTTTTATGGGGATCGAGTGACGAGAGATCAGCGATGCGTATCTACCAGTACCGGCTCCTTTCCATTAGCGGGGGGATCCCAATTTTTTTCCAAGGCCCCGATTTTTCCAGCATTAATAGGTAAAGCATTTCTGCGCTGTTTTTTTACTACTACTAAAGGTAAAAGGTGGAGAAATTCTTATTGGAAAAACCACAAAAAAATCTATTTTCGGCCGAAATATCGCCAAAAATTTGTGTCTGTGTTTTTTTGATTATTTTCCACTTGGATCGAATTGAATTTTACTCTGAACACTATTAAAATACTTACTTTAATAACGATTACTAGACTTACAAAACCGTTTTTGCGACAAAGACATTTTTACCTTTCTAGTAACTAACTAAACGACTGAAAAAATGACGTTTTAGCGCCGCCCAAGCCACCTCTCCACCGCCGCCACCGACTGGTACGTACTATTACGGCTTCAAACGTTTCAACACACAAGCTCAAATTATTCCCCTTTTTTCAGGAAATCCAGCCCCTCCGTCCATTTCGGTCTTTCCATATCTGTAATTTCACTTGATTTTTCCGTTTTTTTAGCCTTGCCTCGTGATTTCCATAAAACGTCCTTTATCGATAAAACCCAATTCACGGATCCCAATAACTATCACAAGAAGAGGTAGTAAGAAAGCAGAAGAAAAAACGGAATTAGCATCCACCGCATCCGCCACCTCCTCCTCCGCATCCGCCTCCACCTCCACCGCAGCCTCCGCCGCAGCCTCCGCCTCCTCCGCCACATCCGCCACCTCCGCCTCCGCAGCCTCCGCCTCCGCCGCAACCTCCACCTCCTCCGCATCCGCCTCCTCCTCCACAACCACCGCCGCCTCCTCCGCAGCCTCCGCCGCAGCCTCCGCCTCCTCCTCCGCATCCGCCGCCTAAAAAGTACAATATTCGCATTTGAATACACCATGAAATTCTGCGTCATACGTCATGTCACGCAACCGCCACGTTGGTAATTCGGCATTTTCGCGCCTGATAAGAAAACTCATACCTCCTCCTCCACATCCGCCTCCTCCTCCGCAAGATGGGGCCGGAGCCGGGCAGGGTGGTGGGCAAGGTGGTGGGCAACAGCATGGTGGGGGTGGGCAAGGCGGGGGGGCATGGGGGAGGGCAAGGCGGCGGGCAGCAGCCTCCACCTCCACCCCACCTCCGCAACCTCCGCCTCCTCCGCCGCATCCGCAACCTCCGCCTCCTCCTCCGCCGCATCCGCCTCCGCAGCCGCCACCACCGCCGCCACCTCCGAAGAGGAACCGCTTGGCGCGGAGGTGAACTTCGTTGGACCCGACGGCCGGCATGGGCTCGAGGAAGGCGAGGGCCGGGATGGCCAGTAGGGCCAACGTCACGATGACGTGCCTCATCCTAGAAGTGCCTGGGTGGGGGATATAAAGAGATAGCGAGAGGCTGAGCGAGGGAGACAGGGAAAGAGAGAGAGAGAGAGAGAGAGAGAGAGAGAGAGATACGGAAAGCTAGGCAGAATGGCAGAGTTTTTAGCACAGGAATTTTTCGAGCGCACGTCCGGGGAGTCGTACTCACACACTTATAGGAACGGGGATTCTCTTTTTGGCGCAGTCTCTCTACGTCAATAGGTGAATACTATTGATTAAGTTTAAAGTTTGAGCAACCTTAAAAAAAAAATAAAAATAAACCTTAGAATTTTGGTTAAGCTTCTAATTTTGAGAGTTTACCATTGAAAAACATTTACAAATACTTTATCGATCTAGTTTAAATTTTTGAGTATACTGAGTAAACCCAGAGCTCGGAAGCTCCTAATTTCTAGAGGTTTACATTGACAAACATTTACAAACGCCTAACCGATCTAGCTGAAATTTTGAGGCAATTAAATGGCGTTTTTTCAGGGGGCAAAACGACGTTTTCCCAAAACAATACTTTAAACGACCGGAACGTGACCGTTACCATTTGAGAAAATGCATGAATACCGTAACCATGAAACAGCACAAACGGTGAATGGTCTCAGCCCCGCTTTTTCCTGTATAAATACCCTGGGGGCAGGGTGCGTGTGGATAGACAATGGGCGGAACTGGCAGTTCTGCCATAGAGCCCCCTTCCTCGTTTTCCAGGAGTCGAGTAGAGCGGGTTGTTTGTCTGTCCGTCGCCATGTGCTTCCGTCACTTTTGGAAAGGCAGCTACTACGCAGGCCGCGGGGGTACACTTTGACCGTCATCACTTAAGGAAAATAGCTAATAGGATTAAAGGGAGGGTCAGCTTTTGTTTTCGAGAACGGCTGGAGGGGAAACGAGTTTAGCGTGACCGTATTGGGAACCTTAGGTCGTGGCATTAATGCTGACCGAGCCGAGATTCGCGTTGAGTCCGACAAATGATCTCTTGCTTCTCTCCTCTCTATCTCTCTCTTTCTCTCTCTCTCTCTCTCTCTCTCTCTCTCTCTCTCTCTCTCTTTCTTTTTCACTGTCTCCGCCTTTTCATCCATGCATGTTAATCCAAATCAACGCTTCAATCAACCGATATTTATTAAAAAATATACACTCTGTACAAGCTGCTTTATCACTTTCGATTTTCTCAAAAGTTTTTGTACACCCCCTCGTAGCTCGGAGGAATATCAGCATTGACTCCTGAGGATTGCCGACCCTGCCGAGGCTCGGGAAATCTCGATCCAGAAGCTGGTCGATTTCTTATTTCGGCAGGAGGCTGTTCGATGCGACTCTGCCCTCCAATACGCCCCTCCAACCAAAACGTCTCCATCACGCCTTTGCCCTAGAAAGAATTATGTTTTTTTTTCTTGAATTTGAAAATATGTGAGGTGGAAGAACGCCTATTTTTGCATATGATAGGTCACCTTAATCATCACTTCTCCCCTCGGTTCCATCTCATAACCACCGATTCGGCTCAATAAAGCTGCCGCATCGGACGACATATGGATTTTTCCGGCTAAAATATGGTAGAGTACGTAGTGAAACCGCTTACGCTTTCCATTACTTTCCATTCGAGAAGCTGTATTGACCGTGTCACCAAAGAGACAATACCTAAAAGCGGTTTTCAACTTAACACGATTGAGGGCTTACCTAGGCATTGCCAGCCCAACAACTCCAGCAACACAGGATCCGGAATGCATCCCGATCCTCAGATTGACAGTCTGATTCGGGAGGTGCGGCACTCGGAACATCTTAAAAAATTGTAATCGCTGGCTTTTTTCTTGGCACAAACCTGGACTTCCTTAAAGAAATCCAGCGACATTTCGGCGATATCTTTCACGTGTTGATTGCCATTGCGCTTCGGTAACCCAGAAACACACAGATAACCGTCGCCAATGGTCTCAACCTGGAAAAGAGTGTATTCGCATTAATGGTCAGCCTCAGGTCCTAGACCTGCAGGTAAGAAACCTGAATAGCGGAAAAGGATACCTTGTAAACCTGGTGTTTTTCGATTACGGTATCAAATGTTGTGTACAGCTCATTGAGGAGGGTGACGATCTAGGAACATTTTCGTTTCAAGGTTTTCTACCTTACTCCCTCTCCCTCCCTCTTTCTCTCTCGCTCTCCTTCTCTCTCTCTCGCCCTACCTGCAATGGAGTACACTTCGCCGCCAAGTTCGTAAACTGCACAACATCGGAGAAGAATATCGTCACCACATCGAATGATTCCGGCTCAACCGACTGCCCAAGTTTTAGCTTATCTGCTACTTGTCTTAAACAATTAAATCAGAACACCCAGAAACCTGTTGTACCTTGGTAGCATTCTATAAAGCAGCAAGTCACTTTTCTTCTTCTCCTCCACCAGCTCGGCCATCCGGTTTTCAACCTAGAAAACTGGTGATTTTTTGGTCAAAATTCGGTTTTACCTCTTTTTCCAGCGTTTCTGCGTAGCTCTCCATAATTTGAAAAACGTGATCCATCAGATTTTGCTGGCCTCCATTTGCCGATGACTAAACGATATCGGATGTTAGGAAAATCCAGGCATACCATCGATTTTAGGACACTGCAAATGGTCGAGATATCCGGTCTCTTGTGCGGGTTTTCGTCCCAGCAGTCGCGGATCAAGTGCAGCTGAAATCAGAAGCCTATTTGGGGTCCCAGCTATCGTACCAGGGCTGGATTCAGCTCCATTTCTTCCGGGATCACGAGATCTGGACGGGTGGGCAGATGAGATACACGGCGGATGGAGTAGAGGAGTTCTAAAGAGTTGCATTTTTCTCTCTTCTCCTCGCTCTCACGCTCTTTCTCTCTTGCTCTCTTTCTCTCTCTCTCTCCGAATCATTTCTAAAATAATCTCTGCTAATTCACCCATATCCCTACAACTTACCCTCAACCTTCTCGTCCCGATTCTCCATGTCAAAAGCCGTCTTCCGGGTGACAATTTCAGAACAGATGATGGCAAATGCATAAATATCCGATTCCTTCGTCGGCTCGATCAGGGAACTCCTCAACAGCTCCGGGGCCCACCAGAGT